AGCGATGGCAGAATGTCCTGTCTCTGTGCCACACTTGCTCCTCCTCACTCTCTACACTTGTTCTGCAGGGTTTGGCTCAAGCCCCACCTCCAGGATGTCTTCCCTGACTGCTCCAGCCCTGGTGTGTGTGGGGGGAGTGACGGGGGGGCTTCCTCCAAATCCAGGGCACCTGCTCCTCACTCTACATTGCAGTCCACACAGAACTGTCTTGCAGTGCAGCTAAGTGCTGCTCACTTGTGTGTGCCCTGCTCAACTACTAGAGCTATTCGTGGAATGATCACATCCAATCAAGTCTATAAAAACCAAAACCTATCCAACAGGACAGGTACTAATTCAGCTCAGGAAAATGCCATCAAACTTAATTGAATCTGCTAACGGGGCTGGGTGGTGTGGCTCATTGGCAGAGTGTGAGATCCAAAGTCCCATTCCTAGCACCACAAAAAAGAAAAAAAAAGTTAAGTCAAACTCCAAGAGAGGGACGCAAGCAGACAGGGACGGCGATGCCCAGTATGCTGAGGAGTGGGGCATGGACCATGGCCAGTGACTCAAGGGCTTTCACCGTATACACAGTAAGCCAAAAAAAAGCTAGACTGCTTGATTTTTCTTTCACAGCAAGCATGAATTTCTTTTGTTAAAAATACTTCAGTACACCATAAAACTGACTATATATTACTTATGCATATACGTAGCATAAAAGGGAGAGTCACCTGTTGTAGCTTTATGCAGGGTCATTTTCCTGTCATGGAGACCAGCAGGTTTCTAGAACAGCGTGCACAAGTCATCTGGGAATTCGATAACCCAGGGGTAGCGGGGACTGGGCACCTGGGTTCCCATGTTTGCAGGGAGGCTGATACTGCCAGTCCTCAGAGCGCAGATTTGTGGTTGAGAGACATGTGCAACCAAATGCCACAATTGCAAATAATAACAAAAAAGAGAGGCTCGAGACCCGAGTGCAGACCCAGCTGCCAGCAGGGCCACCCTAGGAGCGTCCCAAGGGTCAGCTTTGCCCCTGCACTGCCTGCAGAAAGCCTGCACCTGGTTGTGAAGAGCTGAGACACAGTTGGCAATGGCTCTGACCATCTGTGGGGCAACCTCGTGGCCAGTCTGCCCTGAGACCATCTTCTGGCTGAGCCAGGAAGTGGCACCTTTGGACTTCCCAGGGCACACCTTGCCCGGAAAAGAGCATTTTGCTAGTGCTCTGCAATGCATGGACTTCCCTTTTAGCCAGCTGGCACATCCTGCAAGGTGTATTTATAATTATTGGCATTGTATGAATAAAGATCCTGGGGTCCAGAGAGGCTAAGTAACTTCACTAGGGACACAGAGCTCGAATGTAAACCACAGCTCTGGTCAGGCCCAAAGGCTATATTCTCATTCACTTAGCCACACTACCACCCCCAGCAGCCAGGGAAGGTGTCGGATGAGGCTACAACCCTAGGAGCCTGGCTTGTTCCAGGACCACTCTCCAGGTCCCTGACACTTGCCCTCTCCTGTACCTTCCCACTAGTTGTGCCACCCAAGAAAGCCAAGCACAAGGGGACAAGTGACAGACTCCACCTGGCAGGGGTCCGCTCCAGGGGTGCACTCAGTGGGATGGGAGCCCTCTGAGGATAGATAGTATCATCCTGCCAGAGTGGGGTGCACCGTTGGGTATACTACATTGGTATAGAAGGAGAGTCCTCCTCCTGTCCACTGGGGATGCCTTCTCACTGCTCACTCATGGGCCACTTCAGTGTCTAACCGTACCCTGTTTACCAGTCTGGACCCCATTTAAAGGAGCTTTTCAGAAGTGAGGTTTGTGGTTTATTCGGCTCTGGATCACTCCCCACTGCCTAGCACACTCCCAGTATCCTGTTCGCCTAGCATCTCTGTCCACCACCTGTCACCGTGGTCCAGGCCTCCACTGTTCCCTTCAGATGGGCAAAGCAGTCCCCCTGCCTCTCCCCTCCAAGTCGCTCTCTATGTGGCAGCCCACAGTGTTCATTAGCTTGCTAAAGGCCAGAGCTGACCACGGTCCTCCCAGGCTGGGACATCTGGATAGAGCCTACCTACTGAGCAGGACTTACAAGCCTAGTTGGATCTGACCCCTACTCCCTCTTCGGCCCTTCCCTCCCTACATGACCCCGGAGAAGAAGAGGCACAATGTCCAGGTCATAGGCCAGAAATCACAATCGGACCTCCTCATCCCAGCTTCAGCCCGAGTTCTGGGTTCTTGGCGCACCCCACCTCTGCCTGGAGCAGCAAGGGTAGCCCCCTCCCAGGCCTTCCTGGGCAGCCTCCAACAAGAGGGATCCAGCCAAGGTGGGAAGTGGAGTGGGTTCTGCAGCCCGAGCATGCTCAGAAGACCTGATTCCTTTGGGAACAAAGCTTTGAGAGGACCAGCGCACCCTGAGGCTGGAGCCTCTTGCTTCAGAGAGGAAGGAGAGGAGCTGGCAGGCTCTGAGGCTACAGCCTTGTCAAATCCCCTCTGGACCAAATCCAAAGGGGCTGAGACTGCAAAGAAATTCAGTGCCAAGAGCAGCAGTGAAGCCCAGAGAAGCCCCCTCCCCGGCCCTGCTGTGTCCTCTCTATGGGGCTCAGTGGTCTCAGCCCATGGTCACCATTGCCCACGTGCCACCGAGTGCCTGTGAGAAAGGCAGAGCACCCACTATTTTACAGAAAAGGATGTTGGATGATTTGCTCAAGATTTGGGCCTGGAACCCACCTCCCTCACCACCCAAATCACCGCTTTCCTGACAGCCAGGTCAGCATCCACTGTGGGAAGTGGCAGTGAAGCAGGCACTGAGTACCCAGGATGGGGCAGCCGACAGGCTGCCTCTCCTCCTGCCCTGAGAGTTTGGAGTTGGATGCAACTGACTGAGATGTCATAAATCTCCCCTCCTGAGTGCTGTAATTACTCCTGGCTGGATCCTGCTGCCCTCACTCTAGGCCAGCCCACGTGGTAGGACCAGAGGAGGCTGCACTGCAAGGATGGGTCCCCATGCTGTGAAGCCTCACCCAAAACCAGCACAGGCTCAGGGACTTAGAGCCAGCCTCCAGATGTGCAAAACTAGGATGAGCATTTGGTTGGGGAGTGGAATTGGCAGGGATTGGGAACTTGGACTCCAGTCAGCCTGGAGATTTCAAAAATGCTCCGAATTCCCTCGATACCAGGGCCACATTAAAAGGGGTGAGGCTCCTCTTGGCCATACCCACTCCAACCAGGACTTAGAAGAGCAGAGCTGCAATGGCCCACAAGAAACAAAAGATGATTCTTTTATGGATGGGAGACTGAAGTCTAGAAAGGGGGAGTGACTGGTCCAAGGTCACCTAGAAAGGTAGACAGAACTGGGCAGGCAAGCATCACCTCCTCTATCTCTGCCCACCTTCTCCCCGAGTACCCTTGTCCATGTTGGCTGACCACACTGAATAGCAATGGGGGTACTGAAGTTCTGGGGAAACCCTCCCCACCTGCTGGAGAGGCAAGGGTGGAGCAGCTACAGTACTTCCTTGTGCCTGCCGTTGGCCACCTAGGAGAACCAGGCGATGGGCCTCGAGGTCCCCCCACTCCTGGGCATCCTGGGCAGAGAAGTTGGGAGAGTCCATGGGTCCTGCCACAACCCGGAGCCTTCAGGAGGTATCTCCAAGCATTCCAGATGAGTCCAGACCAGCCAGCCCTGCAGGAAACTCAGGCAATGGGGACCAAGATCCAGGCACAAACACCACCCTGTCTTTTTCACAGCGTCATACAGATGCTCAACATTCTGCAGTCAAAGGCAAGATGGAAGGAAGAAAACCCCACTTCCTGACCCCTGGCCTCAGGGGTGAGATGGGCTTTTCACAAGCACCCCCACACAAACTGCCTGCACTTGGCAAGCCTGAAGCCAGGGCTCAGGCAGCTTCCCAAGTCCAGAGGTGCTTGGGGCAGGAGACCCTGGTCATGGAGGCTCCATCTCAATTCCATTTCAAGAACGGAGGTGGGAAGATGGGTACGCTTGCTTTCCTACAAGCCAGAACTTCTAGGGGATTGGAAGTTCTCCTGTCCCTGGAAGCCCACAAGAGCCAGGCTGGCGCAGGCAGAGGACAGCATAGGGGAGAAGGCTGCAAGCCATGGCTCTCCTGAGATCCAGCTTTCTGGGGAGAAGTGAAGGGGACATGCTGGGACCAGGCCTCCACAACACTCCCTGATCCTGGAGAAAGGTCCATGAACTTGGTTTTCAAGTTTCTTGTCTCAGAGTCACAAGATACACCCCAGCAGGCCACGTACACCCATGTGGTGCTGGCCTTAGGGAACAGGACACTGAGTAGGGTGACAGTGGAGCCAGGAGGGTGGAGTAAAATTGCTCTTGGATTTTTGATGCCGAGTCTTTTAATTCCTGGCTGGAAAACCCAAATACCGGTCTGCTGTGATCCCTCCGGTCTCCACTATTTAAGCTGAGGTTTCAAACAAAGGTGGCCATGAGACAGTGATGCCAGAGGCTGGCAAGCATGAGGTCAGCTCCACCACCACCTACTCCCTGTGTGACCTTGGGCCACAGACCAAACTTCTCTGAGCCTAAGTTTCCTCATCTGTCAAATTGGGGCAGTGACCTCTTCCTCATGCCGGTTGGGCAGATGAGAGTGACAATAACATAGGTCCAGTGCCCAGCAAAAGGAAAGTCTCAGCAAATGGAAAGGTTTCAGTTGCCAGTGGGGCCAGATTTCCTGACATCTCTTCTGGCGAACTTTCCCTCCCCAGTGCCCACCACCCCCAGGACACTGTTGGAGGGAAATGAAGCCTGTCCTTGCACAGTGCTCTCTCAGCCTCTTCCTGAGGCCCCAGTGCCAATCTCAGTGCACTTTGAAGGTGGACAGTGATGGGATGGTGACACAGGGCACCTGTGCAGGGCAGGGACCTGATGCAAGGCTGCCTGGGTAGGTTTGTAGTGGCTACTCCAGACGAGGTGGGCACTGAGCCTAGCTTCGCAGCCTGCGTCGTCTGCCCCAACACCCATGACCCCACGCTCCCGCTGGGCTCTTACCTTGAACCATGGGAACAGCGCTGCCCGGACCGGCCGAGGACTTGGGCGCACGTGACGGGGCGGGTGTCTGTTCGTCCCGGGCAGGGCGCAGCTAGTAGCGGCTGCTCAAGCCCAGGCCACGGCTGTGGCGCCTGCTGGGGCCGCGCGGGCGAGGCGGGCGCCGAGAGACCCCAGGAGACCCTCTGGTCGCCGACTGCGTGGCCAGGCGGGAGCCCCTGCCAGCTGCGCGCTGCGGCCACGGCTCCGGACGACCCGGCTGGCTCCCTGCGAGCGGAACGCGCGGCTCCAGTTCAGTACCCGGCGCGGGGCGCGCGCTGGCGGGGAGGGCGCGCGTCCGAGCCGGTTGGGGAGCGCGCGCCAGGGCCCCGCGCGCGCCGTCGGTGGGGGTTGCCGGGGGCGGACAGGAGCTGTCCCTGGTGCTGACCGCTCGTCTGCTGACGCTCAGAGTGCACGACACCCCCACCCCCACGCCGGCCAGCACCCTGCAGGGTTCCCTTTGCTCTTTGCCAGCCTGTTCCCCAGGCGTTTCCACGGCGTTAGGATTCCCAGTCAGGCGGAAGACGCTGTTTGTGGACAGTGCAACCTTGAGGGAAGTCCCGGTCCTCCTTGATTCTGGGGGAACAGCCATGCCTTTAAGGCTGGTTTGAGAATGCAATTCAAAGATGTTCAGAGGCATGACACACATTAAGTGCTTAATAAATGTTCACCCTTGCTATTATTCCTTCCCATCCTCTGGAGAGGAGAGCAGGGCTTGTTCCGTGTTGGGCTGGTGGGTATTTGGGATGTGTGGCTGCCTCTGGGTCTCAGGCATCCATAAGGGAGTGAAGCAGACCTCTTCTACCTGACCCCACAGGGCAGCACTAGGATCAGCGGCAGGAAGGTAAAGCAAGGCAGACCTGGGCTGGGCACGAGGGAGAACTTCTGGGCCTTTCCACCTGAAAGGTATACTCCAGAGGCAGGGCCCTGTCCCTGTGGATGCTTGGCAGGAGGCTATGGCCACGGACAGGACCTGAGAGAAGTCTGGAATGAAGACTTTTGGGTTAGAACATGCAGCACTCCAAGAACCATGCCTGGCTCACAGCATGCACCTATAAATGTTTGCTTTTACTGTGACTGAACTTAAGTTCTCCACAAGAAGCTATAGCCCTACAGGAGGAACTGACACCACCCCATTCCAGAATACCGAGGACAGGCAGAGGGGTAAAGGGAACTGCTACAAGTTCATTTCCCTTTTGCAGACGGGATTGGCATAGAAGTACAAGTAACTTGCCCCAAGTCACACCACATGGCAGAGACATGTCCAGATGGCCTGCCTGCTGCCTCCCACTAACAAGGGTCCCTGCTGAATTTCTCAGAGCTGGTCAGGTCACTTGGGCCTGGGAGAATTTCCTTATGACAAACCAGCTAGTCCTTCATTCCTCTTAGATAACGGGAATAGCTGGTCACCACCCCTGTGAGCATCTCTGTCCCTTCCAAGCAGGATAATTAAACTTCACCTGCTTCAGTTCCCAGAGGACCAGTGGCTGTGTTTGATTCGTTAATTAACTGTGCACTGTGCCTGCTTCCAATGGGTACTTATCTCAAGATAAACATCACTCGTTTGTTCCAGACACCGAGGCTAAACACTTTGTGCGAGTTGTCTCATTTGGTCTGTGCAGCGATCTGGTGAGGAGATAGATACTGCCATTGCCCTGTGTTGCAGGTGAGGACCTCAGGGTCCTGGACAGCTGCAGCTGGAGCTGACTGGCTCCCAGGCACCAGCTCCTAACACTTCCTACTGATTGATTTCCCACATTCTCTCCAATGACCCCCACCTGGAGAAAGGATGCTGGACACTGATAGAAATTCTGCATACGGAGAAGAGGGGAGAGGGAGTGCATATGTGAACTCCAGAAGGAAACTGCAGACCTGCCAGCCAATCAGTGCCCCAGGAGCTGATTGAAAGGAATCCTTTCAATCAACATTTTCAGTCACAGTCTCCATGATCACAACTTTTTTTTTTAATTTCAGAATTGCTTAGATCCTGCAAATATGTGCCAAGAATTTCAAAGCAACATCACCACTAAACCCTGTCTTTACCGACCAGCTCAACCACCCTTCCACTTCTTTCCCTGTCCACTTTCCATTCAAACTCTATGGAATTTCGCAGCTAAAAGCTGAGCAGCTGAAGCTCCTGAGGGAGCCGTGAGCTGCCGTGGCTCTGGGCTCTGAAGAGCTGGATTCTTCTCCCGCTGTACAGATAGGCGTGTTCCTTATGCTTGTGAGGATGCAATTTTGAATCATCGGAACCTGTTTTATTTAAACCAGGACTGATTTAAATGACCCCCACACAACCTATACGATAGAGGCTTTCTTTACTTTCACTTCTTAAATGGTGACAGAAGGGTGAGAAACTTCCCCAAAGTCACAGCCAACCAAGAGGTGACTGCCCTGACCAGGTTTCATTTGGATAATGATGGAAGGTCACCACCCAACCTGTTCTTTGGGTACAAAAGCAATTCCTAATTTTAAGCAAAAACCCATTTCCAAAAATAAAAATGGGGGAGGGGAAGGAGGAGTCTCTGACTTGATTTTACAGAAACAATGCACCATCAGGTTTCCTTAAATAGCAAGTTCTAGTGTGTGCAAAAAAGGACTCGCGCTACATGCAGTTCTTCGAGGCAGGCCAGCAGCGGGCCTGGGGGTGGAGGAATGAATTCCACAGCCCTCCTGGTGTTCCTTCCACTACAGCACACTCTCCAGTTCCATGGCAACTTCGGTCACCGGCAGCTACTCCATCCCCATCACAAGCATCTTTCCACACCACAGAGCTTCGTGGACGTAACTCAGACCCAACAGATGGTGAAGTTGGATGAAAAATCCCCAACACACAAGAACACAGGAGCAGTTTACAGGGACTTGTTTTCCACTGGTAAGTGGGGCGTTTGTAAGATCAGCCTGATGCTGCACACTCAGGACCCTTGTGCACCACCTCCAGCCCCTGCCCCCATTTCTTAGAGGCAAGCGGGGCTGGCTCCAGGGCTGGAAGGCGACAGTCTTCTGAGGGGACATACAGACATCAGGCATCGTTTCTCTCCAGGGCTCTGCGAATGTCCAAGCGCACGGTGTGCTCATTGTGGGATGTAGGAACTAGTGACCTGCACACCATGCTGTCACTTATTGTCCTGTAAGAGCACTAGCTCTTGAGAGGGAAGAACCAGCTGGGGCTGGTGACCAGAGTGTTGTCCCTCAGAGGCAGAAGGATAAAGTGCTCAAAGTATGGAGCGTCTGTCAGGATACACAGAATCATGGCCAAGAGCGTTTCCAGTTTTCTTTCTGGGGACCCTCAGGAAGGGGTTGAGCTTGTGTCTCCTGACATGTCCCTGCAGAGGCTGGGCCTCCACTTGGAGGAGGCCTGGCACCTGGACTCTGTGGTCCTGGAAGCCTGTAAGATTTTGGAAGGACAGCACTGATGGGGCAGCGAAGTGTCTTCTTCCCTGCCTCAGGGATTTCAGGGCCCTCACAGGGGCTCCTTTTCGAGTTTCCCTCTGGGCTGGCACTGGCTCAGTAGTTGCTGAGCCAGTTGATTTATGGAAATCACCATGTTTCAGCAATTAACCTTTGCTGGGTTGACTTGTTTCTTCTGTCTGCAGTTGATTGACTGGGTCTAGTGGCAGACCTATCATGACACTAAACTTTTGTCTACCAACTCCAAATGATCAACCTGGGTCAAGCCCATCTAGAGAAGAGCTGAATTTAAAAATATATATATTGAAAGACAGATGATGGCAAGAAACTGGTTATTTGGGGGCATCTTTTAGGCACGGCCAAGAAAATGATGAGGCATCAAAGTGTGCAAGAGATAGGCATCATGGTGCACACCTGTAATCCCAGTTACTTGGGAAGCAGAGGCAGGAGGATACAGAGTTCGAAGCCATCATGGGCAAAGTTAGAGATACCCTGTCTCAAAAATGAAATTCGAACAAAAGGGCTGGAGGCATAGCTCAAGCAGTAGAGCACTTGCCTAGCATGCAGGAAGAAGGCTCCGAATAGAGAGAGGGCTAGACACCAGTGTGCAAGGGAACAGAGCAGGTGGGTGTGTGGGTGCACATGGGAGTGCACGGCCCCCACATGTTGTGGGGGAGGTGTTTCCCTTACCTTGGTTCTGAATGGCAGCCTTGTCTTCGAAATGCATTTGCTAGAGGTTTTTAATTACTGCTGCATTTTAAAACATTGTGACAGCAACACTGGTACATTCATTCTTCAGGGACCATTGAGGTTGACAGATGATGCATGCTGAGCAAGGCGCCCAGGGATCAGCCCAGGGTCTCTCAGGGCTGCTGTGAATGCCAGGTCATCCTGGCGGATCCTGCCTCCGGGCGGGGGAGGAAGGAGATGGAGCCATGGGGGATTTGAGCTCCCAGAACCTTCTTCCATTTCGAGGATGTTTTGCTCCAGAGGGGATTAGCAGGAAGGTTCCAATCCACTCTTCACTTCCCAGCCACGCCATTTCTCCACTGCTTCTGCAACTGAGGTAAGGCATTCGTTCATTCATTCGTTCACTTGCCACACACCGTGAATATAGAGACCAAGGTGAGAATCCTTGCTGTCTGGGAGCTCAGAGCTGGGTGAGGTTTTTCACAGGGTGGTGGGACAGTGTCCCCTGGTTGGACTGAGGACCTTGTAATGACAGCTAACATCTGTCATGTCTGCTTTGTCACTGAGCTTTCCCAATAGCTGTGAGATGAGAACTTGTCTTTAATTTTACCTCTTTACAGAAAAGAACCGAGACACGGAGAAGATAATGGCTGGCCAGGGATACATAGCAGCCAGGACCGTCAACTCCAAATTCCACACTGACCATGCCCTGTGCCCAGGGCACGGCCCTCGGGCTATCACACTAAAAAATAAAGAATGAAAACAAGAGACTGACTCTTTGGACGTGAACCCAAAATTAAAGCAGTATCTTCATAAGCTTTCTGCTTCTTTTATGGCAGGCTTGTGGAGGAGCGAAGGCTGTTCATTTTAATAAAAGGATAGCTCAGAACCCTTTCTATGATTGACATGGACAAACATCGCTATATAACAACAAATGTCTTGCCAGATTGAAGCCCTTTCATTTCATCAAGGAGAGTCTCAGGACTCAGGACTGAGTCTCTGAGTGTCCGTGGACAGCTCTGCTCCTCTCGGGCACCAAGGATGAAAACGTGGACTTGTCCCTGCTCTCCTGTCAGAATTGATCACAGCCACCAGCCTGATGCCTGGATGGCAGATTTGGATCAGTGGCAAGAGGAGGGAAAGCTTTGGCAAAGAGCCCCTGGGTGGTCTCTAGCTTCCCTCCCCCACCCAACCTTTTCCCTCCTACACACACCTAGACCTACAATCTTGCACAGTGAACTTCCAGGGTGGAGTTCAGCCCGTTCTTGCATCATCAAAGGCTGCCCCCACCCCAAACCTAGGACCCCAGCTGTCCTCAGTGATTGGCCCTCCAGAATGTTCACACCACACTGATCCCCGCTACCAGACACATCCTTGCCATCCTCATTCCCACGGATGAACTCCTACACATCCTACAAGGCCCAGCTCAAGTGTTGCAACCTCCAGGAGACCAGGAGGATCAAAGGCGTCACTCTGCACTTTGATCACAAG